CGTACCGAGTAAGTCGATTAAAGGGAAAGCAGCCCATACGAAAAAGCTCTTTATTTTGGCGGGGCGGTTGATGAAAAGAGGTCAAAATAGCATGGGCTAGTCAGGTTTCATACGGGTAATTAAAAAATAGCAAACATTTACAAAGTCATTAAAATAGTTACTATTTTATGCGGAGAAAAAATTTTGAATAAAAATTAATACCCTAGTTGAAACATGAAAAGTTTCAGCATAAAATGTTGGATTATAGAACTGTTGCGTATAAAGTTCTACTGTATTACGTTGGAACTCCAGCACATTATGTTGGAATCTCATATATATAAAAAGAAATTCAAACTCCAGCATATTATGATGGAATTTTTTCGGATTTTAAGGGTATCTTTATTCAAATTTTATTTCTACAGCAGCTAGATTTTGATTATTTTAAAAGTGTGGATAATATTCAATTAACAGTTGTAAATCAAGCTTTTCTGATTTTTTCGGTGAAAAAGGTTGACAAACTAAAATTTACTTACGCTCTGCGCGTTCCTCAATCCTTTTGCTAGAACATCCTCCATTACTGCTTTAAAAATCCTTGCACCTCTAAAGTGAAGATTGGTAGCCTTAAATATAAAAGGAAGAATGTGGTTAGACTTCCTATTAAATGTTTACGTATAATAAATGATAAATTATAGAGTAGATTAAATTTAGAAAACATACAGGATCAACATATTCGGCATTTCCTGTGAACGCTCCGCCATCACAATATCTAACAAATACTTTGTTCCAATTGTAGAAATCTGCATATTTTACATCAAGAAAACAGATCATGACATGTCTAACTAGAACAGAATAATAATGTATGCCAATTAAGGCAACATTAAAATTAAAAAATAAAACATCTTCTAATAGTTTAATCAAAGAGATACCTGGATTTACACTCTGAGTTTTGCTGTAAATTCCTTGAAACCACCATGGTTTCATATAGTTTGAGGAACCAAAGTCAGATTTGGAACGATTCAGACACTCTTCCACGGTTGTGCACCATGCTCCTCCCTAAGTACAATGTGAGAGTTTCCAAAGATATATAAAAAAATAAAAATAAAAACATCTTTAAACAACACATACAATTGCGCGTTCGTTTGACCATGTATAATTGCGCGTTCGTTTAACCCTAGCAATTGTAGCCATAGTGAATTATATCACTTACCGAAAGATGAACAAGCCATTTTCCCACTCCATCTCCAAATCCTGGTTCAAAATGGTATGCTGGAGGTGATCCGTCCAAGCACACTGCCACATTAAATAAAATGTTACTATTAACTCTTTCTGCAATTCATAAATTAGTGAAGGAAATTAACCTGCTCCTTTTGATATAGCATTGTGAACGACTGTTTTTTCGACATAATATCCCTGATCTATGTATGATGTTGCATTTTCTTTTACACAAGCCTCTATGTTGATAATAATGGCCAAGAAACAAATAAGTATACAGACAAATTGAAATGTTTTGGCCATCATCATCCTGTAAAACAGAAAACAACGAAGGAAAATAAGAAACTGATCATATCATTGCAATATAGAAGTATATTTGCATGTTTGAGAAGGATAAAAATTACTCTACATGCACGTACTTTTATATATATATATATATATATATGTTGGCAAAAGATTTATTTTGTTTTCCCCAACTGATAATTTGATTTATATATAGAGAATTTTATAGGACGGATGGTTGAAGTTAGTGCAGAGAAAATAGGCAGGCCATAGACGAGAGAAAAATACTAGCACCACATGTCTATATTTCCATTAATGTCTGTCTTTCCTTGAAACCTCAAGATTTGAAAGGTTATTAGGGAACACGTAATATTTGTGGTAATTATAATTTACACATGCAGTTCAAAATTTAATTACATTGAAAGTTTCTGCTTTTGAAAAAATGCATTTAGTCTATCAATCAACTACGTCTCAATCTATACTATTTGCTCGGCTCTATGATATATATACTCAAATCAAACTCATTTTATCCCAATACCAAAGACATTATCTTTTAAGGCAACCTCGGACTTCATAAAATTAGAGGTTCTCGGCACGTGTGGTGCACGTGTATGCCGAATCATATACTCCCTCTGTTTCAATTTATGTCAACTCATTTGACTGGACACGGAGTTTAAGAAAAGAGAGAAAACTTTTGAACTTGTGGTGTAAAATGAGGCACATATATTTTGTGTGGCTATAAACCATTGCATAATAGTAAATTGTTTCAAAATAAGGAAAGGGGTCATTCTTTTTCGCACGGACTAAAAAGGAAATAAGTTCACATAAATTAAAACGGGAGAGTCGTATATGTTTTTGTAAAGTAATATTAACATTTTTAAGACGATCTTTGAGTAAATAATTACAAAATAAACAAGAAACAAAAGTCATTTTCGCTCTTTAAAACGTGGCAAATTGGGATGCATTGTTCAGGACCATTTTGGTAGATAAAAAGCACAATCCCAAAGCCCTTTTTTTACAACAAGCTTACACTAAACGATTGCAAAATCTTGACTACTGAATCGACACATTAAAAGATTTTGAAGCCAATTCATTTTATTTTGTCTCTAATACTTACATTCCTAACATGCAACTTTCATTTACACCTCAACAACTAAAAATTTACTGTCTATCTTAACGAATACAAAGACTAGCTTAACAGTTGCATAAGGCACTTAATTGAACCAAACAGACATGAGATTCTTATCATGAATATATCTAAATATTTCAGCAAAGTCTTATAAAGAAAGTCAAAACAGTCACATAACCCCAAAGAAACAAATAAACTAATTCAGCTAAGGATCAAAAGATAAGCTAGCACAGAATATTCTCACCAAAATTATTTACTAATTAAGCTAGCAAGATGAACTGGAGATGAAATAGGGTAGAGAACGAACCGTTATTGCTGAACTTTTCAAATATGTACGGTGAAGGTATGGAGATTTAGAGCTAGTTTTAAGGTGTAAAATGTGAGTGGGAGAAGAAAAGCTAGCTGCTGCCAATAGAAGAAAAAGAAGAAGGCGCTACTATTTTTCTTCCTTCTCTCATTTTGCTCTAGGCGTGTATATATAGTATGTGTTGTATAGTGTATCTAAAAGGGTGAGGACGAGTAGCTGGGAAGGTGCATGTGAGTGTGTGTTTGTTATGGTGTGTCAGTGTGTGAGAGAATATTCCTTAGGTAATTATCTATTAGTGTGGTTAAATACAAAAAGGATAAAATGAAAATGGGTGTGAAAATTGGGTGTGAAAATGACGTAGGTGAATTTTGCTATCAAACAAGATAAGATGGAACCTAGCAAAGTGTCGGGAAATGATTGGCTCTCATGTCCCAATTTTATGATTTTTTTTTCTTTTGCAAATGAAAACAAACTAAATATGTAAATATGCGACTATTGTGTATAGTTTTTTTTTTTCAAATTCCTTAAATAAAATCTAATAAAAATAAAGCAAAGGTAAATATGGAGATTTAACCTAAAAGAAGTAATAAAATTCTAAAAAGTTATAAAAGCTCTATTATGATCAAAAATTAGATGCTCACAATAGTTAGCAAAAGCAACAAGACAGTAAAGGTGTGAAGCCAAAGAATGAACAGAAATCAAGTTGTATCAGAATGAGGGCAAACATTACCCCGTCTAAAGTGATCTTAGAAGTGAGTGTAACACTACCAATTTTTATCATCTTCACCTTGTATCCATTTGGGAGTATTACTAATAAAGGGTAGGTTAAGGTTGTTATACCAGTTAACAAATATTTGATAAAAGTAATGTGGTTTGATGTCCCCGAGTCTATAATCCATGATTCAACCTTATTTTTGAAACATTCAAATGACAACTTACCGAAATCAATAGAGGATGTACCTGCTACAATACCTGCAAAATTTACTACTCCATTTGTAAGGTTAGCACTAGTGTGCACTCTCTTCCTCTCCCAGACTCGAAATGTTGTAACAGGCTTACCAATTGCACATACTCCTTAATGAGGCTCACATTTTGATTATTATCATGAGTGGCGGGTATGTCACTCTCAGTATACTGTGTTTCAGTAGTTGCAACATGTGCATTGGCTACTGTCCTTCTTCCTTTGTTGAACCTGAAGTTCTAATTAGCAATGTCCCTATAGTTTTGGTTGAAGTTCTGCCTCGGGTATTGGTTGACGTGGGACATTTGATTGTGGCTTATGTTTAGATTCAAGTTTTGATTGAGATCTTTGGGATATCCATGTAGTTTACAGAATTTTTCTTTATTGTGTCCTGGTCTCTTATAGTGATCACAGAAAGGTCTGGTCCTATTATTGCGATTATTATTATGAGAGTAGTTGGTCTTGAAAGAATTTGGTCTGCCTGTGTTTACATTCAATGTTGTGGATTCAACAACTAAATGATTGATTGGCCTGATTTCTCTCTACCTTTGCTCTTGGATTAACAATGAAAATGCATGTGTAATAGAAGAAAGTGGATTCATCATGAGGATGCTACCTCGAACTACAGTATATGTCTCGTTTAATCCCATGAGATATTGTATCAATCTCTTGTCTTGCTCAGATTTGTGCATGCTTTCCTTAGCTCTGCATGTTCAGTTACAGGTTGCAGTGTTGAGTTCCTCCTACAGTTTCTTCATTTTGGTACAATAACCAGTGATGTCAAGATTTCCTTGCGACAAATCATTGATTTTCTTTTGAATTTGATATACTTTTGTCCCATTAGTTGTGTCATATCGGTCCTCAAGTTCTCTCCTATCATGACCCAAAATTTCAACCTACCGTGATGGCACCAAACATATTACTAGGCAAGCCGACAATCAGATAACAACTATGAATTTGCATTAAAACATGATTTAATAAGTTCAATAGTGGAAGTTTCATAAATAACTGATAAAAACATCTGTAACTCAACTACAACTATCCCAAAATCCTGGTGTCACCGAGTACATGAGCTACTAATGTCAACATAGTCTAAAACTCTAGTACAACTGTCTGAGAAAATAGAACAGTACTAAATAAAAATGAAAGGAAGGGAAGTCAAGGTCTGCGGACATCATAGCAGCTACCTCGAAGTCTCCGAGCAGGTACTAGCACCATATCTAGCGATCACCGCGTCCAGATGTACTTGGATCTGCACACGAAGTGTAGAGTGTAGTATAGTACTACCGACCCAATGTACTCAATAAGTAATATGGCTAACCTTGTGCTGAAAGCAGTGAGGAGCTCACAAAAATACAGTCCGAATCAAAATAATGACAACACATATATAACAAGATAATAACAGTAATCACTTAAAGAAACTTCCATGCTCTGCTCGTACACAGTTTAGAAATTTAGGCATGCTTTCATGTTCGACAGTTTAAACTCAACACTGATAAAATATGCCAAGTACAACTAGCATGAGGAATGTTACATCTCTATGCCTATATGTCAAATATGCATTTCAAATGTAGTGTATCACAGTGGTAATCCCAAGTACTCACACTCTAATAGTACTCAATCTGTCTAACTCATTTCCCACTCTTCAAACACAATCACTCAGCATTGTACGGGTGCCTGACATCAATGCCCCTTATCAAACACGTGTATATAAATCATTGTGCATGTGCTCAGTGTTGATATGTCAAACTCAGAAAGGGAGGATATTGCCCAAGCGCTAATATAAAGCCTATAAGGCCTGCTACATTGTGCAACCTGATCAACAATAATAAATAAGCTAATAAGGCATGTTGCGGCGTGCGGCCCCATCCACAATATCACTCACAATCCAGCTCTCTGCCCTAACTCAGTCATCTCTAGGCTCACGGGCTCACATATCTCATACCACTCAGCCCAAACAATAATAACCTGATGTAACAATAAATGATAACAGAGATTGAGATATGATATGCAAATGAATAAATATGACTAAGTACATAATTGAAACTTAAGCAAATAAATCGACAATAAAAATGACCTCAGTGGGTCCAAACAGAATAAGCACAAGCCTAAACATGATTTCTAACATGAATCACAGTTCAATTACTCTAACACGTAGGAATTACACGGATAAAACAAGATTAGATAATTACATAGTACCACATAATCAACCGAGTCATATCACCACGGTGCACGCCCTCACACATGTCACCTAGCATGTGCGCCACCCCAACACAAACCATATAACACACATTCCAGGGATTTATATCCTGAGTACCAAGTTTAGAAGTGTTACTTACCTCAAAGTGCGCAACTCAATTCTTTAACAAACCCTTGCCTCACAAATCGGCCTCCGAATGACTCGAATCTAGTCAGAAACGACTTAATATAATCAATACATGCTATAGAAATCGATTCCATTCGATAAAGCTAAGTTCTTTAACCAAATTCAAAAAGTCAACCAAAAGTCAACCCCGAGCCCATGCCTCGGAACTCGACAATGTTCACAAAATCTAAACACCCATTCAATAACGAGTCCAACCCTACTAAAATCATCCAGTTCCGACCATAAATCGACCCTCAAATATCAAAATCTTACTCTCCAATTCCTAGTCCATAATCCCCCCAATTTCACCTTAAAAATACATAAACTAGGTGTACAAATCAATGGTTATTCAATATTATTGGACAAAAGTGATCAAAAGTTGCTTACCTCTTGATTTGTAGTGAAATCCCTCACAAAAATTGCCCATA